TGTTGTAGAATGAGTGAAGGCACCCTCTGCCAATTACTGAGCAAAAAAAAAAATGGTAGTGATGTAGACTGAAAGGGCCTGCTGCCAATCAGTGGCAAGGGGCAGAGTTGCCAGGACCCTTCTGCCAATCAGTGGTGAGGGGTGGGGCTGCTGTGACATACCTGTGAAATTGGCTCCGAGAGCAGTGAGCAGGCCACAAAAAGCCCTTTGTCTCACCGCAACTTAGGTAGGTCCCTACTCCTAGTGAACAGTAATGGAGTAAAAATAGTGATTAAATTAGTCCATGAAATTCTCTGTGTGCATGTTTACTCCTCTCTCAAATAATGATTAATTTCCCCAGATTTCTGGAAATGGAGACAATTTTTGTTTAAAATAACCTCTCACATTACAAAGAGTTCTGCTTTATAACTGCATGCAACTTTCATTTGATTGGATGTGCTTCTGAATATACATACACATACACAAGTGCAAACCTTTACCTTTCTGGTAGAGGGACTGAGTATTATCAGTAAGCACAGGAAATGGATTTACAGTAGGTTTTGCTCTGCATTCGCTTACATGATATTCCCCCTGAGCCATGAATTACCCCATCAAATCCACAAGGTACATACAGGAATGGGCAGGATAGGTTAGAGAAATTCCTCCAAGTGGGTAAGACATCTAAGAGAAAAGAGCATATTGGAGTTCCATGGACAAATTTTGAAAAGCGTAACTAAAAATTGTAAATCCCCTCACCTCCCCGTAAAAACCTGAGGTGTTCCATGAGTGAGGTCTATACGGCAGCATTTTGTTAAGATACTTTTCAAGACATGAGTGTCCGCTTACAACAATAATTAGATTCCATATATGGAAAATTTATAAATTTGTTAGAATTTTCCAGGTACAGAATCTAAGTATTGGAGGCTTGTCTTGAACCCTCCCATCCCCAACTGCAACAGCAGAGAAAGCAGTGGCTGGGAGAGAAAGTAGATGGCCCCCTTGCCCTCTGCCCCACCTACTTCTTCCCCCATGCAACCTTCCTGCCCCCCAGTCACCTGCACCCCCATCCCCAGCTCACCACAGCCTCTGCCCCTCCCTCCCCTGCTCCCCCCAGTCTCTGCCCCTTTCCCACCTCTTAATGTCAGATGCTGCTCAGTCCTAGAGCACAGCACATGAGCTGTGCCCGACAATAAGGGGGAGAAGCAAGGGGGAAGGGCAGAAGCTAGAGAGGAAGCAGGGGCAGGGGTAGGGGCAGGAGGATGCTGTGGCCCCAACCCAGGCTTAGGGACAGAGGCAGGGCCGCAGCAGATGCCTCTTTCCTCCACCACTTTGTATGCACATATAAGACAAGGGGCTTCCCCCCCCGCCATGCTGATTGCCAGGGTGGGGGGACACCTCGTCTTATAGTTGAGTAAATATGGTAACTGAGTGGCTCAGGCAGCAAGTCAGTGGCAGAACTGGGGTCTTCTGTTCCAGTCCCAAACTCTGTATTTGGTTGACATTAAGGAAGAAAAGTTTATATACCCCTACACAGCCACTGGAAAGCTCCCTTCTCAAAGGCTTTAACCTAGGTCTGTATCCATCTTTTACCTTTGTTGAAGCTCCAGTATAGAACATGCATGTCTGCTAACTCACTCAGGAATCCTTTATCCGAAAGCCATTGTGTAATGCATAGGATCTACTCAAAAAAAAAAAGTTACATGCACAGAAAGAAACTCCCTGTCTAAGCAGGCATAGGAAGGAAACTTTTTATGTAAGGTAGCTAGTTGGTCATATGGACACATCCGAAGACCATTCTTCTCCCCTCCCCTCCCACAAGCACTCTAGTCTTGCTAATGAAAAAAAACTGTAAGTTATTTTTTCAGTGAAAAAGTGAATGCCAGCGTAACCAGAATGGGGAGTGTCAAAAGTACAGTTAGCTTCCACCAAGTTTCGTAAGTAATTAGCTAACCCTCCTGGCACATTTGTGGGAACGAAAGTATTATTCCCATTATACAGATCGAGAAAGCAAGGTTACAGGATTCAGTGCCACTGTTGAGAAGAGAACTTGAATAGCTTGATACTGCTCATACTATTCAACCATGATGCTCCATACATCTTATTACCACAAAATGTTTCTTACAAAAGTGGTGAAGACTTGGAGCCAGTCACGTAAAGTCTGATGCATATGCCCTTGTGTGCATGTTCCCTGGGACTGATAGATTTCTGAGTCAGCCACTGATTGTGTATGTTTATACATACATAGGGATAGATAAACTATTCTTCCTTAATGTCAAACCTGGGGATAGTAGTGATGGCTGTTCTCTGAGGGTTTCTATCTCCCTTGACTGAAAAGCCCTATACTAAACCATTCACAAATGAGTATGGTAGTCCCCATTTTACAGATAGGAAAACTGAGGTGGAGAGGCGATATGACTCATCCAAGGTCTCATTATCTCCCAAAGCAGAATTTGTAGTGCTTTTACCCCTCTACAGAAGTGCGTCTAACTCCTAGGACATTTTCTATAGTCCTACAATAAATTTAATATATTTCTTACTGCCCCACCTGTTGGAAGAGGCAATTAATCACTCTTTAATAAAAAAAAAAAACAACCAAAAATATATTTCTTGTCCTGATGGCTACAGAATAGAGTTTGAAAACAAAAATCAAATCTACTCTATGACTTCGGAAGGGAAACTGAACAATACCTTAAGTGTGTTGTCTCCTGAGTCACGCTATTTTATGCCATTGTTCTGTTATTTTAATGCTTGCAGTTGGTACTACAGACAGACTTGCACTCCTTCTGTCTTTTACGTAGATTTGAAATTCCAGGAGGTACACAGCTATACACATAATATTAAAACAGGGCGGAAAGTCTATAGGAAAAGCACCACTGGAGCAGACTCTATGCGTGTTTGATAAAATTAGAAGAAAACAGCACAGACCTATGGTGAGCAATTCCTTTTTAACTCCATGCCTGATGGTATATTAGGTAACACACAGAAAAGCTAAAGTACCCATAGGAACACAGGCTATTCTGGGTGTATTCTATGTTGAGATGACTACAACCTGCCGTTTTTTTTTCCTGAGGAGCATTTATTCTAACTAACAGCAAGCTCTCTCCTCCTGACTTTATGCTTGGTATGATCTCTTGAAGATGGATCACGTTCAGTGCCTCTAATAGAAACAACAGCACAATGAGGTTTCAGATACTAAAGGACTCCTTGTCATAATTGTTCTGGGCATAAGATGGATGTGGGAGGACAGTTTTGATGTACAAGAAGAACTCTGCACCATTTTTCAACATGGGGAGGCTATTGAAAAAGCAGCAATTCATTCCTTAGCCTTCCAGCATAAGCAACTGGAAGAGAATAAATTATACAGGCAATGGTTCACATACCTTGGGTTTGTTTAAAAATATAGGTATTAAAATCAGACTCAGAAATCTGTGCACCTTGAAGGTAAATGAGATATCAGAATATTGCATCTCTCTCCAAAATGCCAAACAAAAAGCAAAGAAACCAGACAGAAAAATATGCAGTATACATACTGAATACAATGCTAATAAATAGCAGTAAAGACTTTTCAGTCTGCATTACTGTGACAGTGGACTGGAGAAATGGTTTTAAAGCAGTAAACATAGTTAAATCAAATGCTGTTACAAGGAAGACATGTTCCAGACTAATGCCTTTGAAATTTATATTACATTTACTATCAGATTAAGGTTTCACAACTGCTACAAACTTGACAGATATGGAACAGAAGCAAGTACATCGCTGTTGTGATGCTGTTACTTAGTATACATAGTACAGGGAAAACGGTGAACATCCCCTATCTTTTATAGGGGAACAGTATTATACATACAGATACAGCTGGTTTATTTCATTATCCTTGCCTGTGCATGAATGTGTATAAATGCGCACGTATTCCTACCTGATTCCTCTTGTACAATGTATATGCATTTTGCACATTTTCTACTAATGTGTTTGCATTCTAGATGCTAAGTTATAGGAAAGCACTATCTGTATAAAAAGCCTTATAACCCTACCCAGACACACTGGGAATGTGGGTGGCATTTAATATACTGCTTTTCAGTTCTTAAACATCTTAGGATTTGTTTTTGTGACTCTGACTTTCTAAAGTGATTTAGAAACAGCATTATTAGCACATAAAGCCAGTCTCAGGTGTACAGTTTACATAATAAAAATGTTTTTATGAGAAGTTTGGGGCTTTAATAATCAAGTCACAACCATGAATCATGTCCAATTCTGTCTGTGCAAGTTACTGTACATCCACATAAAAAAAAATACTAATGGCACAATAATTTTCACTTGCACATTCTACGGAGGAGGAGGAAGAAAATGCAAATAGTTGTCTCAACACAAAATACAGCATGACTATTAACAGATTCATTGGGACTCCTAAACCAGCATTTCTCAGCTTTATGTTGCACTGACATTATGTAGCATTTTCAGAACTCTTGTCTGAAAATACCACTGTTCTACCATGACCTAAAATATTCAAAACCTTAACAGCAACTAGCCTCTTTATTTTATCCAGTTCCCAGGTACCAACCCCAAAATCTATCTGATAGGCAAATAATTCCTTCTTTTACAGGCCTGTCTGGGTAACTGTCATATTGATCACTGAATTCCTAACCAAGTGTCAAACTGTATTCTGAAAAAGTCTGAGAAAGTGCTTATATACAAAAGTTTTTCACATACCCAAATTAAATAAGATAATTATACTTAATGTTTAATTATACTTAAGATTGTAGAGATGAACCCAGATTCTGCCAAAACAGATATATTAAATACGGATTCAGATTTTCAATCAAATATGCAGGTCAAACTAACAGCAGAAACTATGCCTAGGTAACTAGACAACCTAAATCTGAGATTTTTAAAAGGCACTGGCAATAAGGTATAAGCTTTCCTAAGTAGAAGGGGTGTCAGACTCAGTTTGCAAATTGCTTTTTTTTTTTTTTTTTTTTTATACCAATACAAGCAAGAAACAAGGTAAAAAACATGATGCCCAATACCTGTCATAACTCCATCTACTGTAGGACATGGTCCTGTTGCTGCTGACACCATCCATTCTCTGGGATTCAGCCACTGCACTTTTATTATTTGCTTCTCCACACAGCCACTGATTCTCTGCGAGGGTTTATGAAGGGGATGGACCAAAGGAGTGTTTTAAAAAAAAGGAAAAACAAAAAACCAACAACACCCGTCTCTGAAAACAAACTGATTGCAAGGATGCTGAATACTACCTACAGCCTTGCAAGGTAGGACCAGAATTAAATGCACAGCTACTGATTTTTAGTTGGAGCTCGCAAGCTAAGGAACGTACCACTGTCTTTTCAGGAGGAGGGGACTGTTCCCAACCTTTAGTCTTATGCTGTGTGCAAACAATAGGAAGCTGCTTTCAGCTGGCTGTTTGGCTCAACTGTATTCAGGTGAGAAACAAAAGTGATGATGCTAAGCTGCTTAAAATCCATTCTGTAAACAGCTTCTCCTGCTTGCACGTTTATGTGGCTCCTGCTAGGGCACAGATCCTCTTTTATTTATTCTTGTTTCCACAGATACAGCTCCATCTTTTTGACATCACCTTTTCTCTATCCAATAGCCTAATCCTTGGGTCTTTTAAACATTATCCCTCAGACAGACAATAATTAAATCTTCTGTGTACAGAAGCACAGACCTCAGGCCTCCCTGTGATCAAGCATTCGCTGTGTTAGCTTTGCAGAGATCACCATCCCCTTCTTTCCCTCCCTCCCCCCAAAGAGCACACTCAATTAAACTTACCTGATCACAATAATCTAGCTTATAGGTGCCTGATCCAGAGCCTAGGGATCAAGCCCTTACTCAGTTTTCATTACCCTGGGATTGTAGTTGAAACTCGTCGCATATTAAGCAGGAAATCTCCATTTATCTTATACAATATAAATATAGGTAGCAGAAAACAGTGCTTCCCATGTTTCCTACTACAGTACAGCATTCCTATGTTTTCAACTGTCTGTGATGCTTGCCCTAGAATGGAAAGATTCCAATCCACAACAAGACTCAGGTTTGCAAATGTACGTGGCATATTACAGTGGTGAAGCAGATGCCCCAGTTCCAGCACATCCGGGGTTGTTTTTCTTTTTAATTTGCTTCATTAAGCAAATTTCATTTCCGTCACCTTTGAAAATGAGCCCTGTCCAGAAGGGGAGTCTCATTCTCCCGCCTACTTGGTGACTAAGTTGTTGCAAGGCGCTGAGATCAGGCCAGTGTGGCTCATAGAGCACTCATCAGAAATAATGGCTTACACTGAACAGTCCAGATGGCTTCAGAGCAGCAACAACATTTATTCCCATCCCTTCAGAATTTCTCATGGTCCCAACATTAAGTGATGCTATACTCATAAAGCTGGATTTGGATTACAAAAACCAAGTTGGCAGCTTGTATCTTAAAAGGTAGTTGTACTATGGCCAGGCAGTTTTTAGATATTCAGAAACTATGAGATCAGCTTCCCCTTACTCAGATATTTCCTGTTGCTCCCAGAGCTGTAGTAAAGGTGCCTTTTGGCATTAGCATCATCAGAAGTCAAACCATAGCCCTAGGCAATAAACTTACTGCCAGGGCTAAAAGTTTGCCATTCATTATTTCTAAAAAAAAAAATGTGGGTTGCTCTCACCCTTCGAAGCTGGTCTTCACACTCCACAAAATGTATGGCTGCAAGTCTCTTGATTTTTGAAGAATGCTGGGCCAACTCACAGATTTGAGTAGCAGTACCAACCAGAATGCAACAGATGGTTAGGAGAGGGGTGGCGGGGGAGAGGGGTAGGGAAGATGGAGAGAGAGCTATAAGAGTCTGTAAGCTTTCTTCCTACACTGATTCCTTTCCTAAGCAGTGAGCATAGTCTGCAGCCCCAAGATGCGTGGAGCCGACATGGTCCTGTGAACCACGTACACAGCTGAAAGACTTCCTGCAGTCTAATTCTCGTTCCAGTTCTAATGCCTCAACAAGCTTTATAAAATTATCCAAAACTTTTCCCTTTTATTTTGCCTGTCTGTAAAATCAGTATAAGGACTCTGACCTGCCAAACTGGAAGGGCTGTAATAATTTTGACCTGAGGGCGGGGTGGGGGGAGGAGATTTTACACCTAATGGACAGGAGCGAGCAATTTAAAGTAAAAGGTTGATGAGGAAAAGTAATTTTCAAAGCAGCATCACGAGGTTCTTGCAGGAATGGCAAGTGCCCCGGGTGGCTGGAGGGGCACGGCTGTGCTGGCGGCGGCGGGACTGTGCCAGCAGGAGTGTGGCAGTGGTAAGCTGGGAGCTCCCACAGACACCGCCAGCACTGTCAACGGTGGGGGATGCGGGGGGTAGCAACACCCACAGGCACCG